CCCCCCCCCCCCCCCCCCTACTATAGGCCACTAGGATAGACATTTTGGGCAAAATCTCATAGGCTTGATCATCAGAATCGATGATATCATGATGTTTGGGAATAATACTGGCTATGTCACACACTCGAGGGTTGTACTTAGTGACAAAAACACACTGCTTCCCTTCAGAATTAGGTTTGCTTTTACGTGCTTCAGCTCGAGTCATCACACACACTTCCTCAAATACTCTATTAACATGAGCACAAATCATCAAATACCTCGTTGACCTCGGTTTAGGTTTACGGTCGAGTGACCTCTGTTTTATTCCGGCTGTAAATAAGTCATTTCTCATTCTACATCGAACATCTTTACAACAAATTAAAGCTAAAGATCTGGCTCGTCTAGTTGTCATAATCTTAAATTGGTGTAAGCTCGTCGAAAGGAGTTGTATTGGATTCTTTTGTGGTGATTTTGTATCATATTTCAGCGTCGTTCGCTACAAGCAGGAATATTGGTTCATGCACAGATTATCTCAGTCGTCTTGGTCCTATTCGTTTGAAATCTCTTAAGTGAACTACAAATTGTGTTACTGTTCTCATGTGTAAATTTTGTTTCATTTGGATGTCCTATTCGGTATTTATTGTACGATTACTATTTTGACCGTTTGAACTTTAAATTCAAATTTTGTCTGGTGTCGCCTTCCACAGCAACAATTTTATGGCGTTGTAACTTGGTTTTGGGTGTTTAAAGTGAACTTTATATTTTGTATTTGTATTTGACCTTTTAATTACGACATTTTCGTACATTTTCTATTTTATTGGCTGAATATTTTGTGATTTATTCAAAGTTTCATGGTTGCTGTGTTACGGGAGCGTGATTGTTCATAACTTGGTACGTAACAACAGCTGCGTGAATATTAACTAATCTGGCGTGTTGTCCTTGTCCATGTGAAACATATATCTCTGGCCTCTAACCTCTGGGAAACAATTTATGTGAAATTATTTTAAATATTTATCATTTTGAAACTTCATAAACTATCAACTATGTCTATAGCTAACGAACAATCATCAGCAAGTTATAATTCTCTTATCAATTCTCTGCGTGTGTCTAAAACTGCAATCGAGTCAAATCAACTGTCATCCCGACACTAGCTCGCCTTTGGGAAACATAACAATTAGTTCAAATCTTGCAATCCTCCCCGAAAAACTCTGTTTTGTATGGATCTCAACTCGAGATACAAATTTGAGAAAATTCAACCTTCCAAAATATCATCGCTACGGTATAGAACTACGGACCACCAAGTTTTCAAGTCATGCACTTATTTGCATCTTACTATCTGGCGATATTGCTACTAATCCTGGTCCTAATACTGCCCCCTCTACCGGCTTAAATGTTCTTTATCTGAATGCTCGAAGTATTAAAGCTTTCGTCCCCCTTGATGACGACCCTTCACGAAAAGTTTGCAAAATGTCCATACTACAGGAGTTGTTTTATAGCAATGACTATGATGTGAAACATGGCTGAACGACTCAGCTATGTCGGCAGAAATCCTTATGGGCTACAACATTAATCGAAAAGATCGACCTGGCAGAACTGGTGGAGGTGTTTTAATTGCCGTTAAGTCTGACATCCGGTCTAGTCATCGAAAAGACCTCGAGAGAGACAATATCGAATTCGCTGTTGTTGAACTCGTTAAGGATTCCACTAAATCAGTTATTCTTTATACAGTCTATTTTCCAGAACCTCGACAAGATGAACTACACCAACTTACTTTATCTTTGCAAGGGAACCCTGAATCAGCTTGTGTTGTCATAGTTGGCGATTTTAACCTTCCCACCCTCAACTGGTCGCCTGATGAATCTGTTCTTAATTACACCGGTGTGTCAACGGAAACAATGAATTCTGTGTCCTAATGAAAGATAACTTTCTCCAACAGTTTATTAGAGGGCCTACTCACATAGCAGGAAATAAACTTGACTTTCTTCTCTCCAACTCTCCTGAAATTATTGGCAGCATCTCTACTTTCACCCCAGTGGAAAGCAAATTTCCCTCCGATCATTACCTGGTGAATTTTTCCCTACGCCTTAAGTTTACACGAGCACTGAGCGTAAAACGCAAGTCGTACAATTATATGAGAGCAAATTTCGAATATCTTCGTTGCCGCTTGCAGCGCGTTTATCACCAGAAATGTTCGAAACTAACGATGTCGATATTTACTGGTCTCAGTGGAAGGACGTATTCTGGGCGAAGTACAAATATGTGCACCTGTTAAGGTAATTCAGGATACAAACTCTCCTCCATGGATCGACAGAGAAGTCAGGCATATTATGCGTAAAAAATATCGGGCTCTGAAAAAGTACTGCGATAATAGGACTGAGGAACGCAAACGAAAACTTGGATCCCTAAGTAATGACGTCAAAAAGCTTGTCAGATGTAATCATCGTAATTACCTTTACAAAATCCAGGGTTCCTTTAGTGAAAATCCAAAATTGTTTTGGAGCTATCATCAAGCTGTATTGCATCATCGTTCAGGGGTAGAAGTCTGTCATAACATATAATGGACAAACACCGAAGACCCCAGTAGAAAAAGCGGACCTCTTTAATAGGTATTTTTGCTCCGTGTTTACCACATCTAACACAGTACCTAGTATGCCTTCCCGTCCTAAAACATCTGTTACGGAAATTTCTGATATGGAACTATCAGTGGAGGAAGTATGGAACTGCCTATCGATCTGCCTATAGTTTAGACACATCCAAGGCAACTGGTCCTGATGGTATTCCCGCACGCATTCTCAAAGAATGTGGCAAAGAAATCGCACCAAGTCTTTGTGCTTTATTTAAAAACTTTTTGCGTTCTGGGCGTTTTCCCGTGGAATGGAAAAATTCAGACGTCACACCTGTGCATAAGAAAGATCTAAAAGAACGTGCTGAAAACTACAGACCTATCTCTTTATTGCCCATAGTGAGCAAAGTGATGGAACGCTGTGTCTGCAATCGATTCTATGCCCACGTATCACACCTAATTACTTCACTTCAGCACGGCTTCATGCGCAATCGTTCGTGTGTCACACAGCTTCTATCAGTACTGCACTCCATTGGAGAATCGCTTGATCGAAACATCCAAACGGATATTCTTTACCTGGAATGCGTCATTCTTATTAAGAAACTTAAATGGTAAGGTGTAACAGGTCACTTGCTTGATTGGATTGTGACTGACGGCGTAGCTTCTCAGTACCTACCAGTTACTTCTGGCGTGCCCCAAGGGAGCATCGTTGGTCCTCTGCTATTTGTCATTTTTAAAAATGACATACCTGAATTTATTCCGAATCAGTCAAAAACCGCTCTTTTTGCAGATGATACCAAGTTATACAGATCGATGTCATTCATAAGCGACTGCGAAAGCCTGCAGCGTGACATTTCTAGTTTAAATAATTAGAGTCAGAATTCAAACATAAAATTTAACGCTTTAAAATGTAAAGTTCTCACAATCACACGTAAAAAATAACCTGTAACAACGGATTTTCATTTGGGCGACGCAAATCTACAACGAGTTGAACAAGAAAAAGACCTCAGTATAATGATAACTGCCAACTTATCCTGGGATGCTCATATATTTTCAGTTGTCAACAAAGCTAACAAGATGCTTGGTCTCTTGAATAGAACATGTCCCCTCATAGAACACAGCAAAATACGGCAATCCTTATATCACGCATTTGTTAAGTCGCAACTGTGCTATGCAATGGAGGTATGGTCACCGGCTACTGCTAAGTTACAGATGATATTAGAAAGGGTTCAGAGGCGTGCAACACGCTGGATCCTGAAAACGAATGTCGGAGAGATGCCTTATGAACATAGGCTGACAACCCCACTAGTTTATGATCGAGAACTCAGAGACCTTGTTTTGGTTTATAAATCTATCTTCGGTTGTATTGACTTGAACATTGAACAATTTGTATCTTTTGTGCAACATAGTCGTTCTCGCTCTCAAAAT